ATGGGTGGGAAAGAGACCCCATTCCTGCCAGGAAATTTTTAGGGGGGAGAAGGTCTTGTCCCCAGCTGTGGGGAGATGGGGAGCATGAGGGTAGGCAGGCAGCAAGGTCTGGAGCCCTGGAACAAGGGTGCTGAGGCCACTCTGTCTTCAGCTGCTTTGATTCTGGTTCACACGTTGTTTGGGTCTGCTCAGCGCTGTCTTCTCCACCCCTCCTGGCAAGGGCATGACAAGATGCAGGAGGTTTGTAAGGCCTCACCTTGGCTGAATTTCTGCTTAATAAAAAAGGGGCACAGCTCTGTTTGAGCCACAAATGGGCCTGCACTGAGGGCCTGGCTTTCCGTCACGTGCAGAGATGCAGGAGGAGGGACCATTTTTTTGCATTTCAGAGCTGAGGTGGATTTGTACAAATAGGAATCCAGGCTCTGGTGGCAGCCCCTGCTCCCTCTGCACCCCAGCTGTCCGTGAGGATCGGCCATGGTCTCAGCACAGTCCTGCAACCTTCTGGCTATGGAAGGAGGGTCCAGCAACCTGGCACATGGAAAGACCTACTGGTAAATTCAGCTTATGGTTATGCTGCAAGCATTCTGGGTGACCGCTTTTAATTCCTTTGGCCTCTCTTTGCCTCAGTTTCCCTGGTGCAAAATGGAGAGAACAGTGTTGGGCTGCCATATAGTGGTGCTGGGATGAGTAGCTGAGCTTAGGAGATGCTCCCATGGGATGCTCTGTGCTGAAGGATGCCACAGCTGGGCCTGCCTTTGGCTGCCATGCCAAATGTGGCTTTGGAGTTAGCAAAAGCTGAAACTGCCTCATCTCAGGGTTAAAAGTGTCAGGGGAGGACAGGGTGGCTCATGGCCATGCCAGCTGGTGTCCCTGAGGAGGCTCGTGTCCATCAGTGGGGGTGAAGTACCTCAAGTCCTGAAGGGGCGAAACGGTGCAAAGGCTCTTTCAGGGTCTGCTCTCATGAAAACACCACTTGGGGTTACAAATTCAAAAACTCAGCTCATTTTGTCCCAGATAATTTTGGGGTTTGTCCTTAAGGTAACTTCATGAGTGGCTGAGAGTCACTGGGCGTTGCACCGCAGACCGTGACAGGCTTCGGTCTGTGCTTTGACCCTCTGCTCCCACCTCATCCAAGCTGGGAAAGTCACCTCCTGGATGCTACCATGGCCCCTGGGACCCTCACCTACCATACTGCTGGGTGCTGTACAGAGACAGAAACTGTTTTTTTCTTTGGGATCTGAACAAAAGCAGGCAAAAATCCTGCTATGCACCAAGGTAATATGGAGGGGAGTTACCCCAGACCCTGCTCAGACCCCAGCACCTTTCATCTCTGGGCTGAACCCCGCTCATCCCCACCTCCGGCAGCATGCACTAAGGATGCTCTCATGGATGCAGGTAGCATTACAGGATTTTGCAGCATCTCTTGGGTAGGAAACCTTTCCCTGTTTGCATCCTCCCCCCTCCCCCCCCCAAACCTCCCGGCAGAACACACATCTGGGAGCATCTTCCCCAAATGCATCCATCACAGCTGCCTTTCAGCAGCAAACAAAACATCTGGAGATCCTGCTGGATGAAAGTCTTCCGAGTCTTCCATGGGCTGAGCCCGGGGGCTACAGGAGCAGCTTGGCACAGCCCCCCCGGGCCCCACCGAGGCACAGCCATTTAGGGATTCACCCCCCAGGCAGGAGCCGGGGGTCCTCGACTGCAGCCCCCTCTCCCTGCCCTCCCCTGGGCTCTCGCCTGGCTGCGGGGCTCCGGATCGCTGCGTGACTCACGGCGTGCAGCACTTCACCCTGGCGAGAGTCCTGAAGTGAAGGGAAGCTCTGAGGCAGAGAAAGGAGAGATGAGCCATGCTGCAGCCCCTCTCCTCCCGCTGCCTCTCCCCATTGAGTCCTGCCCTCTCTGATTTTTTGCTCTGAGCCACTGCGTGACAGAGGAGAGGCTTCACGCGATTGCTTTCTCCCCTGCTCGGTGTGTGCGTATGCGTGGAGCTGAGCAGCAATTCTCCCCCCCCCCCCCCCCTTTTT